AGCAGCCTAAGCAAGGGGCTGGGATTTAGGGGCCCAGTCTCCCTCATCTCAAGGGGGGCTGAAGCATCCTAGGCCTGCCCTGGAACCAGATGACATCTGTGCTGTGCTGTATCCTGGAGAAGCAATAAACTCCCTCTATTCTACTGGCTGGTGGAGTCTGTTCGTGCTATTACAGGGGTGCAGGAGTCGGGGGAACCCCAACGCGCCGTCACAAGCTATCTGCATCATTCTCTGCGGCTTTGCAGGGCTCTAGGTATTAATTGCAGCTTCACTTTGGTGCTGGGTTGCCTTGGTTTCTCGTTTGAAGTGTTTCGATAGGATGTGAAAAGACAAGAGTCACGTGTCTTTCCACAAGCCAGGTTAGTTTGTGGGGGACACTGGTCAGTCAACCTAACAGCCTCTTTGCTCCTGACACCCGTCAGGCTGCGGACAGTGCTGCTGGCAGAGGGCGTAGGGATGTTGTAGGTTCAGCGTGGAAGAGGCCAGTGGGTAGAACAGGGAGGGAGGCTGTAGATCAGGGATGGACAATAATTTTTGCAGGGGGGCCACTTAATGAACTTTGGGACATGGTCGCAGGTTGGCACCAACCCCTGGAATGGGCGGGGCCTGCGGAGGAAGGGGCGGGGCTGGGGACTAGCCTCCCCCCCGAGTTCTCCGGGACTGGAGGCTTTGAATTAAAAAGACAGCAAAGGGCTCGCAGCTCCTGGCCCCACTGCCGTTGCATTGCCTGGCTGCTCCCCGGGGTGGCTGCGGCTATTTACAAGGTCCACAGCTCTGGCCTCTCTAGGCTAGCACCGCGACTGGCCCCCCCCGGGGAGGGGGGGGGGGGCGGGGCGGGGAGCCGAGTCCGTTAAATGGCTGCTATTGAAAGGGCTCACGGCTCCGGCCCCTGCCGGGGTAGCACCGCAACCGGGAGCCATTTCAATGGGATCTTGCTGCCTGAGCCACTGCCTGGAAATTCGGTGGCCCGGGCAGCAGGCTATAACCAGAAGGTGGCCAGATGCAGGGAGGTGGGCCAGATCCGGCCCCTGGGCTGCATTGTGCCCAGCCCTGCTGTAGATGGAGGAGGCGGAGAGCAAAGCCAGAGGGAGAGTCACTGTTGATTGCAACAGGCAGGGCCTCCTGTCTCCAGCTGCCTCCCCTGTTGGCTAAGGCGCGGGAGCTGTCGATTTGGGCTCCAGGACCCAGCCCAGATATTCCTCGGGGCTAAGCGCCGAGACGTGCCGAACACCTGCTGTCACAGGGCGTTTCAGGCACCCTGCCTCATTGAAGCCCCCGGGCTCTGCAGAGAGAGTGAGGCTGGGCCAGGATTATGAACTTTCTTTTTCCCTTGCAATCAGTTTGCTGCGAACGGGCGCCCTGGAGGAAACTGACACGGCAGAGCAGCGAGCGGTATCAGGCGCTGCACAGCCACGGCAAGGTCAGGGCACCAAACGGCCTTTGGTTAGCACAGGGCCCAGAGCAGCGGGGGGCTGAGTGCAGTGGCTTTGCACCCTCTCTTCAGACAAGATCAAGGGAAGCCCTTTTTCATGGAGCACGTTGCTAAGCTGTGGAACTCCTGGCTGCAAGGTATCGCAGAAGCAAAGAGCTTCACGAGGTCCAGCGAGGAGATTTGATGTCTCTGTGGGGAACGAGAACGCCCAAGCTGTGCTAGGCCGGGTACACGCGTCAGAAGGATTATAACCCTCCTGCATGAGGGCACGAGCCGTCTGTGAACTGCTAGAAATTCTCCCTAGAGGCAGGTTATTCCATCGTTCTCCGGGAGGGGGTTCCACGCCCCTTTCCCTTGGCCGTGCTCAGAGACAAAGCAGCAGGCCTCAGCTCTGCGCTCACCCTGCCAGGCCGCTCTCGTGTCCTGTTGATTTCTCTTGGCTGAAAGCGGAGGACCACTGTGCAGGAGCCGAGTGACTGAAAATCCAGGCTTTGGGCGGTCCTGGGGGCCAGCAGGGAATTTGAGCCCCGCGCTGCAGCACACAGCAGTGGAGGTAACTTTATAGCAGCGTGAGAGGCTTTCTGCAAGCTGAGTCAGCCTGTCAGTTAAGACATTTCTTGGGAACGGGGGTAAGTTCTGCCCCCTACAGCTCCAACCAGGACCCCCTTCTGGTCCCTGCTCAGCTCTTCC